CAGAAATAAACCCACACACTTACGGACACCTGATTTTTGACAAAGATGCCAAAACCATACAATGGAAAAATGATAGCATCTTCAACAAATGGTGCTGGTCCAACTGGATGTCTACATGTAGAAAAATGAAAATAGATCCATACTTATCACCCTGCACAAAACTGAAGTCCAAGTGGATCAAAGACCTCAACATAAAACCAGACACATTAAATCGGCTAGAAAAAAAAGTGGGGAATACCCTAGAACTCATTGGTACAGGAGAAAACTTCCTGAACAGAACACCAACAGCACAGGCTCTAAGAGCAACAATCAATAAATGGGACCTCATGAAATTGAAAAGCTTCTGTAAAGCAAAGGACACCGTCATCAAAACAAAGCGACTGCCTACAGATTGGGAAAGAATCATCACCAACCCTCTATCTGACAGAGGACTCATATCCAATATATATAAAGAACTAAACAAGCTGAAAAGCAACAAACCAAGTAATCCACTTAAAAAATGGGGAACAGAGCTAAAGAGAGAATTCTCTGCAGAGGAATATCGAATGGCAGAGAAGCACTTAAAGAAATGCTCAACCTCATTAGCCATTAGGGAAATGCAAATCAAAACAACCCTGAGATTTCACCTTACACCCATCAGAATGGCCAAGATGAAAATCTCAAGGGACAACACATGCTGGAGAGGTTGTGGAGAAAGGGGAACGCTTCTCCACTGCTGGTGGGAATGTAAACTGGTACAACCACTCTGGAAATCAATCTGGCGCTTTCTCAGACAACTAGGAATAGCGCTTCCTCAAGATCCAGCCATACCACTCCTAGGCATATACCCAAAAGAGGCGCAAGTACACAACAAGGACATTTGTTCAACCATGTTTGTAGCAGCTTTATTTGTAATAGCCAGAAGCTGGAAACAACCCAGATGCCCCTCAACTGAAGAATGGATGCAGAAACTGTGGTACATCTATACAATGGAGTATTACTCAGCAATGAAAAATAAGGAAATCATGAAATTTGCAGGTAAATGGTGGGACCTGGAAAGGATCATCCTGAGTGAGTTGACCCAGAAGCAAAAAGACACTCACGGTATATACTCACTCATATAAACATACAATATAGAATAAACCCACTAAAAGCTGTACATCTAAACAAACTAAGCAAAAGAGAGGACCCTAACTAAAATGTTCAATCCCCATCCTGAAAGGCAAAGAGGATGTACATCAGAAGAAAACGAAAATAGGAAACAACCTCGAAACCCGCTACAGAGGGCCTCTGAAAGCCAGAAGAAAACAGGAAACCACCTTGAAACCTGCCACAGAGGGCCTCTGAAAGCTTCTGCAGTATAGACTGTCAAAGCAGATGCTGAGCCTGCTGGCCAACTGATGGGCAGAGTGAATGGAATTTTATGTAAGAAGTGGGAAATAGTAAGAGCTGGAGGGAACGGGAACTCCACAAGCAGAGCAACAGAACAAGATAATTTGAACACAGGGAACTTCCCAGAGACTCCTACTCCAACCAAGGACTATTTGTGGAGATGACCTGGAACCCCTGCACAGGTGTAGCCCATGGCAGTTCAGTGTCCAAGTGGGTTACATAGTAATGGGAAGAGGGACTGCCTCTGACATAATCTGATTGGCCTGCTCTTTGTTCACTTCCCCCTGGGGTGGAGCAGCCTTACCAGGCCACAGTAGAGGACAATGCAGCCACTTTTGATGAGAACTGATAGACTAAGATCAGAAAGAAGGAGAGGAGGACCTCCCCTATCAGTGGACTTGGGGAGTGGCATGCATGCAGAAAGGGGAGGGAGGGTGGGATTGGCAGGGGAGGAGGGAGGGGCTTATGGGGGGATACAAAATGAATAAAGTGTAATTAATAAAAAAAAAAGAGAAAAAAAAAAAGAAAAAAAAAAAAAAAAAAGAATTGCTCTCTGTTCAGATACTGGAAACTTTCCACTGCCTTCTCTTCTGAGTCTGGATCATATAATATTCATCTGCATTCTTTTTTTTTAATTGCTGTTTTGAAGATTCTCAGTCATCTGTAATAATTCTCCAGCCTCAATACTGAGCTCCTTATGTGACCAAATGGAGCAGGCTCATCACAAGCTATGTTGATTGAAATAACTCATAAACAATTAAATTTGTGTGCATGCTCCTCAGCACCCGAGGATATGTTATCAATGAGGTAATATTATCAATGAATTGCTTCTTTATAACTGAGGAGAAAACATTGGCTTTAAGAAACTTAGTATTTGTCCTGGGTCACCAGATGGTAAATGACAGAGCTAGGCTCAAACATAAGAAGTTAACTACTATTTCCCAGCCATTCAGCAAACTTGACCACGGTGTCAAGGAAATAGTAGCAAACGCCAAGAACTTGGCTGTTTGTATAAGCCCTGGTGAGAAGGACGTCCATGTGGACGACATCCAGGTATTGTCTACTCACATTAGGAAGAACAATTCCACAGCTTCCTTGGTAACCTGGTGTGTGGTTTAATCATTAGCTTAAACTCTTTTATCAGAGTTTTATCAGTGCAGCATTGATTGCTCAATTCTGTGGGAAGGGAAGAGAGATAATTGTCTGGACTACCCACCCTTTGCAAACTTTAGGACAGATGTCAAGTTACTTTCTTTGGCTTTTCCTTTCCCAACTCAACACTAAGAGTTTCTCCCCAGATTTCTACTGTCCATCTCCCACTTAAATACTCTAAGTTGCTTTTTATATTAGTTCATCTGGACCTGGAATCTCCCACCTTTCCATGCCATCATCTCCTCCTACCAAAGCCTCAGGGAAGCATGTGTCTGGGTTTACTCCCTACATCACAGCGCAAACATGTGAGATCCTGATACCAGCTTGGTTGTGGCATTCTCAAACAGACTTGGTTAGTTTTTCAAGGACCTCTACCTGGGTCTCAAAGCAAGTAGCACACTAAGACCCTGTCATCATAGAGAGTCACTGAGATGCTTAGACAGGTCTATATAAAAGCAATCATGGAGGAAAGCCAGAAGAAACATCTACCAGGAGCCAGTCTCCTAAAATGCTTGTGTGTGAGCCTTGGAGAAGCATCTTCTGCCCTGTAGAATATATTTTTCTCATTGCTTCTTGGTTGCCCATTCTTGTTTCCTCAGCAGAAGTGGAGAATTTTGTCGAGGCTAATTGAGTTATTCTTCTTCAAAGATCAACTAAAAACTCTGAAGGTACAGATATTGAGCCTGACAGGCCAATATGTCACCAGTAGAAATGGTTCCCAGAAACTTTAATTTAAATAACCAGCTAGAAACAAACTAGTCTTTGACCTGAAGTACAGGTGCAGTAATCAATCTCCTTATCAGCTGCCCAGTGGACCTCCTTTATCCTTTGGTTATGATTGCCTTAGATAGGAGCTGCCAGTACATAGTTCTTTCCCCTTCTGCAAGGCAGTCCTCAGCAAAAGTATGAGTATGAATGCTAAGTATCCCCTGTTCTCTGAGTTCGGGGACAAGAGATAATCTCGCTGCCACCTCTGTTCAAAATTAGAGATTCAGACAGAGGTTTTGAATCAACAACCTCCAGCCACTTTCAAAGGAAAACCAGCCTTGAGACCAGGGCTTGCTTTATGTCTGGTAAAGAGACACATGACACATGATGACAGATACAGAGTGAGAAATGGACAGAGCGCAAAGGACACCGGAGAAGCCTCAGCTCCACCATAATTCTTTCAATTGTAGCCAAGAACAGGGATATATCGGGAGACGAGATCTCATTTCTCCCTTCTTCTGTGACCTGAACTTGAACCCTTATATTTGGGGCAGTAGTTAAAGATTTTCTTTGTTACCTGAATATCTAAAAGCCAGGAGGTCAGAGAATGAAATAAGAACAAAAACCATGTATAGGGAGAAAAACTTCAAGTCTCTAGTAATTAGGAAATGGCCCACCAGAAGGAATATAAAATGTTACTTGATTTTCTCCTCACCACAAGAACAGTTTCTGGATACTATGATCTCTGGAAATCTAGCATGGAGATCCTGCTTTCTGCTGGCTCACCTTGTATGCAGTTTCTGCAAATTGCTGGGCACTGTTCTTCATGTCTTCTGTCTTCTCCTCCGCTCGGCCTAACCGTTCCCCACGCTCATTCAAGGCCTGGCTTGCCTTCTGTACTGCACTGGTCACACTATCAGCTGCTGAATGGAGGATGCTGTTTCCTGCAAGGAGTGCAAGAGTGTCAAGAGCTAGTTTGGCTAACCCCCAGTGACAGATCCCACACTACGGAAGGGCCAATGGTGGATGGAGCCAGAAGACAAGTTTACATTGCTTTTAGGTAATTCATTCACTTGTAGGAAGAAGACCAACAGGTCTTGCACAGGACCAGGGCAAATCATGCCATCTTCTCTCCACTCCACCATCATCCATTCTGTTTGGGGAGGCTAAGAAACATGGGGCCCACTGGGATTTAAGACTTACTTGCATAGGTCAATGGGAACCCTGAAAAATTCACAAAATTAGGCAAGTTTATTGAGACATATTCAGATCTTACGCACATTCCCATTAATTATATAATTTATTTATTACATTTGTTTATTCTCTGTGTGTTTGTCTGTCTCTCTCTCTCTATTTAGGTCAGAGAATAACTTCTGGTTCTTTCCTTGTACCATGTGAGTCCCAGCAACTGAAATCAGTTAACTTGGTAGCAAGTGCTTTACCTGCTGAGCCACCTCACTGCTTCATTTATTTTTTGAGACAAGTGTTTCCCTCTGCAGTCTAGGCTACGCTGGGCTTCTGTCTTTCTGTCTTTGCCCTTCAAAGTGTTCAGTTTCCAGGCATGAATGCCATGTTCAATGAGGCCCATGTTTTTTGTTTGTTTGTTTGTTTGTTTGTTTGTTTCCCTTCTAGTCTGAGGGACTGAATCCAAGGCCTGGCAAATGCTAGGCAAACCGTATACCATTGGCTGTATCCCCAGCTCTTTGGTTTGTTTTAATCTGAAGTTTAGGTATAATAACCACCAGAAAATTGGAGCCATAGGATTTTCAAGATATAATGTTCTATATCCCTTCCCCTTTATTTTATCTTTCATCTAGCAACTAAGCCACACTCCTATTGCATGGCTAGAGCTATGATTCCCCAATGAGGTTTTATTTATTTATTTAAAATTTTTATTTTTTTTCACAATATATTCATTATATATCTCTATTGAAGCCTCCTCCCTTGACTCCTTCCAGTCCTGCCACCCCCTCTCTTCCCTTCTTCTAGTCCACTGAAAGGGGGAGTTCTCTTCCTTTGCCATCTGCCCATAGCCATCAAGTCTCATCAGGAATGCCTGGATCCTTTTCTTTTGTGGCCTGGTAAAGCTGCATTGCCAGGGGCAAATGATCAAAGAGCAGGCAGACCCTACTCCATTTACCTACATTGAGACTGAGCTGCCAATCAGCTATATCTGTGCAGGGTGTCTAGGTCCTCTCCATGCATGGTCTTTGGTTGGTGCATCAGTCTCTGCAGGAACCCCTGGGCTCAGATATTTTAGCTTTGTTGGTCTCCTTGTGAGGATCCTGTCCTTCTATCCACCCCCTCTTCTTCCATAAGACTCCCTACACTCTGCCCAAAGTTTGGCTGTGAGTCTCAGCATCTGCTTCAATCCCCTGTTGGGTGGAGCCTTTCAGAGGACCCTCCCCAAGGAGGTTTTAAATTCAAAGGGGATGTTATGGCTTCCAACCTCCAACCCGGTACTATGGCTTGGATGGTCAGGCTCCCTTTTGTGAGTTCTGCAATATGAAAAGCAGAGCCACAGTGCTGTATGCAGCTTGCAGATAGGAAACCATCACAGAAACTGACCTCTGAAGAAATTTAGCATTTGCAAATTCAGGAATGACACCAAAGAAAGTAGAAACCAGTCACTCTCAAAAGGTCATGTATCCTTGATATTCTACTGTCTACAGGCAGTATGACTTGGTGAAGAATTTGCAGGCTCATTAGCCACTGAGGACAAGCATGTGGCCAAATAATAACCTCAAGAACTTTATAACTGTAATTTGTTAACATTAAATGGCATTTTATATAAGTTTATGTCTTTGAATAAGTTGATTACATCATTTTACTTTGTACCTACGATGGATACTTCTAGCCACAGATAGCTTTTAATAGAAATATAATTTCTGGGGCTGGAGAGATGGCTCAGAAGTTAAGAACATTGTCTGCTCCTCCAGAGGTCCTGAATTCAGTTTCCAGCATTTATAGGTGGCTCATAGCCATCTATAAATGAGAGCTAGTGCCTCTTCTGGTGTTCAGGCATACATGTAGCTAGAACACTGTATACATAGTAAACAAACAAATCTTTTTAAAAAATGTAATTTCCAGTAGTTTCAGCTACAAGGGCTTCCCATTTTCTCCTTTGTGGAAAAAAAATCTCAGGCAAAGAGTGTCTGATGCAGAGGCAGCACCTAAGAAATCACTTTCCATTTTTCAAGGGCTTAACACACACACACACACACACACACACACACACACACACACACACACACGTGATTAGGGTTCACTAAAGTTACAAGTTGTAGCTATCCCACATAGATATATATGCATATATTCATCTGTATGTATACACACAGTGAGTACAGGGTTGAAAAAACGGCACCACAAGAAAATCTGAGTTCGGACCCGATTGCTTCCTTCACTGTGGGATCTCCTCTCCACTGGGAAACCCAGTCTCTGGTGTTGTGGGGTCCAGAGTTCTGTCTAGGACAGTGTGTAGCACTTGCAGGCGTGTGGCTAAGGGCTGGCAACTGAGCACCTGCTGAAAGCCCTGGGTTCTTTTCGGAGGAGGGGGTACAGGTTGGCTGGGTAACCTGAGGTTGGTCAGACCCAATTGCTTCCTTCACTGTGGGGTTTCCTCTCCACTGGAAAACGCAGTCTCTGGTGTTGTGGGGCCCACAGCTCAGTCTGAGATGATGATCAGAACACGCAGGCGTGTGGCTCTGGACTGGCAACCAAGCGCCTATAGGGAACCTGTGAACTCTTTTTTGGTCCCAGAGATGGGACCAATTACTTCCCACACCATGGGGTTTCCTCTCACCCAGGGAACACAATCGCTGTTGTTTTGGGGCCCATAGTTCGGTCTGTTTGTCACTGTGCAGTCACTGTTGCCCTGCTGATCAGACACTGTGCTCTCCATGCCACCACTTCGGATCCTCCCATGTACCCCATCTTTTAATTGGATCATTTCATTTGATGATATTTAATTTAAGTTTTTTGTATATTTTGGATATAGCTCTCTGTCTGAAGATCTTTTCCCAATCTGTAGGCTGCTGTTTTGTTCTAGTGACAGTCTTTTGACTTACAGAAGCTTTGCAGTTTCATGAGATCCCATTTTTTAAAGATTTATTTATTATTTATACAGTATTCTGTCTGCATGTGTGCCTGCACGTCAGAAGAGGGCCCCAGATCTCATTATAGATGGTTGTGAGCCACCATGTGGTTGCTGGGAATTGAACTCAGGACCATTGGAAGAAGAGCTAGTGCTCTTAACCTCTGAGCTATCCCTCCAACCCGAGAGAGAGATCTCATTTATTAATCTCAGAGCCAGTGCTGTTGGTGTTCTGTTCAGGAAGTTGTCTCCTATGCCAATGAGTTCTAGACTTTTCCTCACTTTGTCTTCTAATAGATTTAGAGTCTGGCTTTATGTCAAGGAATTTGAGTCACTTGGACTTAAGTTTTGTGCAAGGTGATAAGTATGGGTCTATTTGCATTTTTCTACATGTAGACATCCAGTTAGACCAGCATCTTTGTTGAAGATGCCTTCTTTATCTCTGCTGTATGATTTTGGCTTCTTTGTTGAAAATCAAGTACCCCTAAGAATGTGGGTTTATTTCTGGGTCTTCAGTTAGGTTCTGTTGATCAACCTGGCTATCCTGGGTCTTTGATTTTCTTTTTTCTTTTCTTTTTTTCTTTTTCTTTTTTTTTTGTCTTTTATTTTTCAACATGAAGTTAACAGTTGTTTTTCCAGGTATGTAAAGAATTGTGTTGGAATTTTGATGGGAATTGTATAGAATCTATAGATTGCTTTTGGCAGGATGGGCATTTTTACTATGTTAATCCTACTAATCCATGAGCATGGGAGATCTTTCCATCTTCTAAAATTTTCTTCAATTTTTTTCTTCAAAGACTTGAACTTCTTGTCATACAGGTCTTTCAATTGCTTGGTTAGAATTACACCAAGATATTTTACATTATTTGTGGCTATTGTGAAGGGTTATTTTCCTAATTTCTTTCTCAGACCTTTTGTTGCTTGTATAAAGGAGGGCTACTGACTTTTTTGAGTTAACTTTGTATCCAGAAACTTTGTTGAAGGTGTTTATCAGCCTTAAGATTTCTCCGGTAGAATCTTGAGGGGGTCAGTTATGTATAGTATCATATCATCTGAGAATAGTAATACTTTGACTTCTTCCCTTCCAATTTCTTTTCTTTTTTTTTTTTTTAAAATCTTTTATTTATTTTTTATTAATTACACTTTATTCATTTTGTATCCCCCCATAAGCCCCTCCCTCCTCCCCTGCCAATCCCACCCTCCCTCCCCTTTCTGCATGCATGCCACTCCCCAAGTCCACTGATAGGGGAGGTCCTCCTCTCCTTCTTTCTGATCTTAGTCTATCAGTTCTCATCAAAAGTGGCTGCATTGTCCTCTACTGTGGCCTGGTAAGGCTGCTCCCCCCCAGGGGGAAGTGATCAAAGAGCAGGCCAATCAGATTATGTCAGAGGCAGTCCCTCTTCCCATTACTATGTAACCCACTTGGACACTGAACTGCCATGGGCTACACCTGTGCAGGGGTTCCAGGTCATCTCCACAAATAGTCCTTGGTTGGAGTAGGAGTCTCTGGGAAGTTCCCTGTGTTCAAATTATCTTGTTCTGTTGCTCTGCTTGTGGAGTTCCCGTTCCCTCCAGCTCTTACTATTTCCCACTTCTTACATAAAATTCCATTCACTCTGCCCATCAGTTGGCCATCAGGCTCAGCATCTGCTTTGACAGTCTATACTGCAGAAGCTTTCAGAGGCCCTCTGTGGCAGGTTTCAAGGTGGTTTCCTGTTTTCTTCTGGCTTTCAGAGGCCCTCTGTAGCGGGTTCCGAGGTTGTTTCCTATTTTCGTTTTCTTCTGATGTACATCCTCTTTGCCTTTCAGGATGGGGATTGAACATTTTAGTTAGGGTCCTCTCTTTTGCTT